TACTCGAGCAAGTGGCTTCTTCATCTGCTAGGCGTTTTATTCTCACTGTTAATTGTCAATTCTTGTCAATTTAACATGCCTTATGCGCTCCAACTAGCAGAAGAAATTACCAATATTTGCTCTGTTTGAATAAAGCTTCATTACCAGGCAGATGCAGCTAACCGCTTCCTCTTTCATTCGCATGCAAATGCCAAAGAGAGGGCCAGGGAGGACAGGAATTAATGGGCACATCAGTCCAGAGCCGGAAACATTAGTATGCGTTTTCTTCGTATCTAATTTGTCCGGCTGAAAGAAAGAGATAGTGAGCGTCATAATTTTAACAGCAAAATTTTGAGGTTCGTTTTTGAATAGTATTTAAATCACGCGTGGATTACGGTAGTGGGCGTGTTTGTGTGATCCGCTTGACTTCGAATTGCCGCCGTATCATTTTGGGAGGTCTCCGTTGGGTTTTCTGACAGCGAAGTGAGTTTGTGTTTACCGGTTGTTTTATGTACGACGTCTACGATTTGAACTTATGCGTGGAAATAGTCCTGACTTTGAGCTTTTTCTCTTTTCCGACATTACCTTTTTACCCCTTTTTAGTTGGACGCTGAGGAAAATTTTCCTTGGCTTTGGTGTCTTTTAAGTGCTCTATAGGAACCCTGTATACTAGTGTAAACGAAATTTCCACTGGGTTCTGACTGAAAATCACTTTCTGCCACAATTGCTTTCTACGCAGTTCCATTGTTTTGTGTATGCTTTCCCTACCCTTACTAAGCGATTTGTTCGAAGGAGTTTGCTTTGCCTCTATTCTGTGTTTATTAGCTACCACAGATTTGCAGCATAATGTTACATGCCGGGGTATTTTTTACACTCCCGTTAACATGTCATACAGTTTTAAAAATTCCAGTAAACCAGGTAAAGTCTCCTTCGTTGAGCGATCCCTTTTTGGATGCGGCACGCATTCTACTTCCATTCACAGTCGAAGTTGCTCATTGAGTGCGATGTAGCCTGTAGTGTCTTGTGTTGTTATCTTCCGGATTTAGCACAGTTGAGTGGTCCCCGCAAATAGATAGCGTTGAGCGTGGTGAGCGTGCCTTTTTCCAGTACACTACCTCCTCCTAAATTGCAGTCAACTCCTGTGAAACTTCGAAATGCTGCGAAAATCGTTTCTACGCTATCCCTCATAATTTTTTTCCAATCGACCATTGCTGTAAAATTCAGGGAAACTTATGAGGAAGGTGGGTGAGGATGATTGCTCGACTTAAGCATCAAGGAGCTCCACAGTCTCTGTTTTTTTTCTGGACATCCACCTTGACTCTTCACGCTGTCCCCTATAATTTACTGGTTTACCTTATGTACTAGTTTCTGTCTCAGGTAGCCACCGCCAGCCTTTTTCACTCCATGCGTGCCTAGAGCGCATTCATACTTCGCGATCCGGTCGCTCGAATCGCGCCATCGAATTACTCGAGCGTTTGGATCGCGAAATATGAAGGTGCTGATTTAATGGCAAACAGATTGTTGCCCAGCTGGTTCAGAATGTCCCATGATCTCGTTCTACTCCGTTAATCGTGACGCTTTCTCGTATTCTACACTAAGGCCTTTTTCAGGAGCAGTACTATTCTCGCCAAGGTTCTGATCTATGGCGGATCTCGACGCAGAACTAGCTCTGTAAGTCCATGTCCTTGTTTTTATATAAATTTTTTTCCATTGATTAGTTACATGTCAAGAATATTTTTCATTTTCGAGCTTTACAGGGTTGTCCTCTCTTCTCATCTCGCCCTGGTCGCGAAGAGCAGCGAGGTGCATAGTTTGGTCGTCCCTTACCTAATCTAAAATTTCATCACACGGTTACTTTCACTAAATGTTCTCCGTAAATTTTTGTCCCGCTATAGTTCACACTTAGTTATTCCTGTGTTCATCTTCTTCATAGGCGGATGCCACTGCATAGCGGCTAATGTAATTTTGGGAACAACTATTGAAAGCCCAGGGCAGGATCATGCGTGAAGGTGGGATTTCTCGTTCCTAAACGGTTCAGAAAAAACTCTAGCACCATTCCTCCCACTGTTCTATCGAGACCATGAACTTTCACGTGAATTGCGAGGTTGCTGCTATAAATGTTTGCAAATATAGTGTAGTTCGCTGCGGACGGTTGGGCGTGTCAGTGCGGCTGCGTTTGGCGCGGTGCCAAACTCGTTCTCCACCAGTTGTTGAAGCGGGCAAGTGACAATACTGTATCATATCCTTCGTATTACTCGTTTTCTACCACTTTTTGTCGCATGCGCGTTTCAACAAGAAGGCAGAGAACGGCTTTGATGGGGTGCACTCTCATACTGACTGACACCCGCAACCGTCCGCAGCGTATAACGCTAGAGTGTGTAACGCATGGAACCTTCTGAAGATTATTTTACAAACCGTTGATGATAAGCGCATTTCACAAGTATGTCGAAAGCTGCAGTTCTAAATTAGAGTTAAGATTCCCTTACTTGCTGCTTTGTTTATTGAACTCAGGGTGTTCTTGAACCGTAGTCCGCTTTCCTACTAAAAGCAAAATGAGCCGTACATATCTGAATAAGAAAAATTGAAAATCTGTCTCTTCAAAATTATAGAGGCATCCTGGTAACAAGGGGTCTTGAATGTAGATTGTTGTTTTTTTGGCACTATTAACCCTTCACTGCCCCAACCATCCAGAACTGAACCAGTTTCTAACCGACTGCTGGGGTATTTTGACCTCCTGAATACGAATATGACATTCGCTTAGCCCGAAACCTCCTGGCGCCCGCGCCACAGGCGCCGGTGATCTGGGGTATTTTGGCGCCAGCACCTGTAGCGCGGGCGGCAGGAGGTTTCAGGCCGAGCGGATGTGATATTCGTGTTCAGGAGGTCAGACTACCCCTGAGAACAAGTTTTCAGCGAATTTGGTGATTCAAGGTATTTTGGCGCCGGCGCCTGTGGCGCGGGCGCCAAGAGGTTTCGTGCTTAGCGATGTGGTATTCATATTCAGGAGGTCAAACAACCTCAGGGAATAAATTTTCAGCCAATTCTGCAGAGCCACAAAAGGCTCGGTCCAAATCTGGCGTGTTTTCGGAAGATTGGGGCAGTAAAGGGTAAATAGTGCTGTTTTTTTTTTCTCCACGTGTTCGCGATCTTACGGTCACGCTGTGAAAGCACATAACCTCTCTAATGTGTATTGACGATTTAAGTTTAGTGTGGGGAACCAACACAGAACGAAGATGTTACCTTCGTTGAAGATAGTCATTCATACCGCTCCCTAGCTGATCAATTTGGCCCATTGTCTTGATAACGATTCAGAACAACCTGTGACAGTGATTTAGGTGACCATGAGTCTATAGTTAGTGGGTATGTTGGATGCAGGAACATGAGGTCCCAGCGCAAACTCCGCGCAGAAATGGGAGCAGGTAATCGGCAAGAGTTTTCTGTTAATCGGTGGAGTCGTTTTACATCGGAAAATGTGACTTTGCTGGATTGCTCACCATCGAGTATGTCAACCATCGCAAGGACTTTTCCTTTAGTAAGCTTAGGTAGATGTGTTTTTGCAAAGTTGGTTCACGAAGCCACCTTCTCGAGATGCACTCATTCTTTCGGAAGGGTCACAGGACACATTTCAAGCGGACAGTTCTCGCTTCGAAAGTAGGGTTATTTTCTCATTGGATTTAAAGGCCGAGAAGTTGAAGATGCTTCGCCGTTGGCAAGTACGCTAGCATCTTTTGGAAAACAAAGTTTTGAATCGTTTTTTAGGATGTGTATTGTTCACAATGGTCACTAAAAGAAAGTGCACTATTACTCATGAGCACGCTTAGCTCAATCAACCAAGTAACACGTGTGGAAACATTTCACCCTATCTAGGAGCACCTCTTGATAGTGTGCAGCTTTTGCGCATACAGCTCCGGAGAAGAAAACCTCGGAACAAGCCCCAAAATCGCGTAAAAACAGTTCTGAAGCCATTATTCAATAGGAGTGGTAACCGGATAGCGGAGTTCAACAAGAATAAGAACTGTCAGCGCTTTGAATTTGGTTTGCTTACTACTGGGTCTGATTAGAGCCTGGGTATCGACTCCATATGAGCTTCATAGCTATCCTTGGATATTCACCTCCAAACTCCTTGAAACGTGCTGGTGGCCTTCTTACATTTGACTCATGCTTCAAGTCATCTCGAAGATGTCTGATGAGGTCGAGGTGGAGGCTTTTACTCGGTCATTTTGTCATCCGGATGCTGGCAGGTGCCGGAATCTAGTAATCACATACTTCTGTGTTCGCTTAATGTCATTTTCACTGATTTGAAAATAGTCCTTCCATGCATACTTTATCTATATCCACAATATTTCGGTACACAAGTCAAGGAAAATGAAGCAATAAGTTTGATGGGAAATTCCGATTTCTTCGGCTTGTTCCGCGTTTTTTTTCCGCAGCTGTGTCTGCATTTTGGAGAACTGGAACTTTTCTTGAGTCTGTTCATCCCACCATCCGCAGGATCCTGACCCGGGGTGCCATTTCAAGTTAATGAGCTATTTTGAAATTTTGCGGTTTGAGGAGCTGAGTTCCTCAAAGTTTCGTCACAACTTGCTGCAACAGTTCAGACGGCATCTTTCTGTAGATCTATTGCAGCTGAGCGGGTCACCAAATTTTAGCATTATCTCAAAATTAATGTGTAACCCACGCATAGGATACCATTTTTAATTGGGAAGAATTTCCCGTTCGTGCTCACTAAAACTCTTTTTGGAAAATAATAGCATAGTAAGGTGGAGACTGTTCTGATAACTAAATCCTCTCGTGTGGCCCATAACTTTAAAAACCGCCAAACCTTTCCAAATCACGTACCTCGGTTGAATCTAATGGAAAGTAAGTGGAGTTTTGTCCGTTTCTTCGTTTTGCGTCTTGTTTTACTTCTCGTAGATATCCAATTTATTGTCATAGAAGCATAGTTTGAAGTCTATACAGGATTCTCTTTGTTTTGTTACACTACATTTAAGACGAATTTTTTTTAATTCTCCTAAGATTAACTATTTAGTTTCGAGAGCGAAATATCTTCCCTTGTGGCCGATGATGGATCGCCAGCTAAAAAGAAGAAGAAGACTGCCGAAGTCGAAGAACCGAAGGAAAACGGAGATGCTCAGACAACAAGTGCCAACGTGATTGTTTCTACAGCACCAGTCATCACTATGGCCCCCACAATACCTGTTATTGCCGCAGGTGCCAAAAATTGATCCACTGCTTTCTTTGTGACTGTTTTCGAATGACTTTCATTTTTTCGGACCTCGTTCAGACTCAGTGATCGCGTAAGAACGTGCGATCGGATCGCGCGGCCACAACCGAGGGCGCTGCGTCGCCAAATGGTGGGCCACCATCAATGGCACAATTCGAATTAGCGCTGTGTGAACGCAGGCCAGTTCGAATTCTGCCGGTGCAGTGGCGCACCGCTGGTAGTGGAGCGCCCCGGTCGTGGTGCGCGATCGCGAAATTTGAGCGCGGTCTTACCGATTGCTAATTCTTCATGATGCTTCTGCCATTCGAATCTCATCGTTTCAGCACCAATGATACAGACCATTCCAAATCCTATGGCGCCGTTTTTGCCAAGAGTCACAACACTACAAGTTCCGGGAGTGTCAATCATGCCTCCTCCTGTGCCTCCACCTATGTTCATGCCTCCCAATCAAGGTTTTCGGCCGCCTCCAGGATTTCCTATGCCTATGCCCAATCTTTTTCTACCACATCAGGTTATCATCAGACTTACATATGTTTGCTCTGTACAACAGATGGAATCGCGCCTTTACCGTCAGCTCTTGATTTTAGCTGCGACAACCTCCCCCTGCAAGACAGTCTGCAACAATTGAAAGCGCTCCAAAAATTTACAGTTCGGAAGTACCCACAAGCAACGCGACGGGAGGCCAAACTGCTACTGCACCAGTCACATTTGTAAGTTACTTTGTTCTCCGTTCTTTTCATAATTATTGGGCGAGTAATTTACGCTACTCCTTGAAGGCACTTGCATCTGACATCGAAGCAATGGAAAAGAAGAACGAGCATCCGTCATCTTCTTCATCAAAGTCGAAGGATGCTAGAAATTTAAAGCCTAAAAAGTACCTCCGGGCTGGTGGTGGACAGGTAAGTCGTTGCAATACCTTTATCCTTATTTGATGTATTCGAAGGCACATGTTGTGGTGGCTCTGAGAGCAACAAACACCAAACGCGTCGGAGTTTGAAACTGACTCCGACTGGTGTTGGTGCTTGTTGTCTTGCTCGTTTCTCGCCTCCAGCTATTCTATGCATCTATCTTGAAGTCGACTTCAAAGGAGATCTTACCAAAGACATTAATTTACATGTACTTCTATTTCTCATCTCCATTTTACGACATCCATCAAAGAATGAGTCGTATAGATGGTTCCACATTAGCGCCAACCAAAGAGCTGCTTACGAGAGCCAGAAATTGCGCTTCTTCTACTGTCCTGTTCGTTAACGAAAGTAATGGTGGTGCCTATGTAGTTTACAGTCTGCACCGAATTTTTATACAGGACTGGGTTGAAATAGTTCAGTTATGGGCTTCACTTAATAACGCTTGAGGTTCGCGGCCTGATTGTACAAGTGATGAGGCAGTGCAAAATGCTGTCGCACTTTCCGATCGTTTAGGGTCTTAAAAACAAGAGAAAGTATACCAATTGGCTTCTGTCGAATAACATAAGCAATTGTCGAGTAAGTTGAGCAAGTTGCCCTTGAGTTTACTGATGAGCCACTTCGAAAGGCTTCCTTGTCAGGAAAAGGCAACATGTAGGCCCGGTCATTTGCAAAAAGGTGCACGCCTTTGTACGCGCCACGAACGGGGATTCAAGTCTGTATTCAAAGTCTGCGAAAATGTTATTCATACTGACTTATTGAGTTTTTTTTTCCACCGTTTTCTGCGGGGTGACCATGAATAGCAGCCACCAGTATACTTGGTCTATGACTGATTACTGGTCTTTGCTGGACCAACTCTTTGGTCTTTGGTTTCTTTTTCTTCACAAAACTATACGTCGCTCTTCTCGTATCATCTGCATCATTTTCCTGTTTACTTTGATGAAAATCCATCCCAATACCGGTGATCGATGTTAGGTCTGTTGATTTTGCTATTCATTGATTCTTCGATTCATTCATTTCTACGACCTCTTGTCTGTGATGCTCTTCCGGTGACGGCTCGATAACTCCTTGTAGGGAATTCACAAATTTTCGTTGAACTGCTTGAACTCGGCATCCCAAGACGCTCAAGTCGGTGTAAGTCACACTGCAAATGGCCGATCAAATAGCCGATTCAATCTGTTGAGTTTCTCTAGCTGGTCAGCTTAAGATCTTATAGAACGTTACCAGTTTTTGCGTGATCGATAGGTAGTGCCAAATGATCGAACATTTGGGAGGCTGATTTTACCATTGTGCGAGAAGCAGCTTTAAAGGTGTTATATGCCTAAGAAAGCGCGACAGCCATTCGAAAAGTGGTTAGCTCTGTGGATGCGACATGAAATCGCTGATTACCGTAGTAGCTGGGTGCAGATCCCATGTCAGATTTATTCAGTGTCTCTTGCGCTTCTTCGTTTCTCAAATTTCCTCCTTTATACGAATTTCTAAAGGTGTTCGATGAGTTTCGATTTGAACATTTGATTTGAACATAGAAACTCCATTCTTTCAATGAGCGATAAGTGGCTGCATTTTCAAACAAGTGCTGAATCAATTGAACACAGAGCGTGCATGGCATTCTCAAAACTTGCTTCTTAATGTTGTGAATTTCAGATCTGGGAAGATCCTTCCCTGGCTGAATGGGATAAGAATGACTTCCGCATATTTTGTGGCGATTTAGGAAATGAGGTGTGTCTCAATGAAGATTCTTCTAATTTTCACGTTTTATATAGAGCTTATCTCCAGGTCTCCGATGAGCTACTGGCCAAAGCTTTTCGTAAGTATCCCAGCTTCCAGAAAGCGAAGGTATGCCTATTGCGAATTTGATGTTTTTTGTATCTCTTTGAATTCATACTTGAATTCATACTTTTTTTCAAATGTGAACCCAAGCGCTGACTTGTCGAGATGGCCACAAGGGCTAATCCTAGTGTCTGTTATGTTAGGACGAAGTGGCCTATTCAGTTTTGAAATAATTTCTTTTCGTTCCAAAAGTTTCTTTTTCGAGGACTCTCCTCGAAAAAGAGGTATCCGTTCTTCGATGCCTTTATTGAGCATTTTTTGACTATCAACAAAATTATGTTAATCATTGCTTGTTTGTGTCCAGAGATTGCTTAAAGCTCCGCTTTATTTCAAAATGACCGAATCCAAAAATACTAATTTGTCTCATAATTTTTGGCTGATTTTTGAGTCGCTCATTCAATTTTCCTTCTGTTTGATGAATTTTTGAGCAGTGGTGCAATCACCACTGGGATTATTGATGCATAACCATTTGCCGTGAATGGATTTGTCGCAGAGTGAGCGAAGGTTACCACAAAAAAAAATTTGAAAAACGCTACATCCTGATTCTGTGAGTGCTTGACAATTCCCTTCTGCACCGTGAACGTTCTCAGTGTTTCTGACTGGAAGCGTCCCAAGTATTCCCTCCAAAAACGGTCTTCGGGCTTTGATTGGGTTGGTGAGTCTCAGCTGCGGTGCAGACTAGCTGTGTTCCGTTTCGATCTCGAAGAAACACAGTTTTTATTTTTGTTGATGATTGACTCAAGAAAGACCTCCCCATGTAGTCGGAGAAGAAGGATTCTGCAGGTGGTCAGGGTTGCTGCTCGGACAAGGTGGGGCAGTGCTTGCGGTGTCCATGGAGATATCACTGCGCAGCGACTTATCCTATTCAAATGAGAAACGATGTTACTACGGCTGTGTCCGAGTGTATGCTCCGGAACTCGGTAGTAGCCTCCGGATGCAACTCACAGAACCTGTATCTAAGGTGACTAGGCACCGAGACCAGTTAGATTGCTCAGCTCGCCTTGCTTTTGACAGATTAGTGGAAGCATCACCTTAAACCCCCTCACCCCTATCACCTTGACCGATTTGTAGCTGTGCACAGTGTTAATAAATTGTTGACCCTTTCGATCGTCCTTCTTGCACTGGCATCCAAATTACTCAAACTTCAATGAACATCGACGGAAACAATCAACTTGCTGTTGATATGCAACATGTCATCTGTCATGGATAAAGGCACTACCCTGAACCACGTTTCTTATTTGGAATAAAAAAACTGGATCTGACCAAAAATCGCACAAGAAATATGAGACAATTGAATAAACCCTGGAATTTATCCAACAACAACCTTTGCCTGCTCGTAGCGCCATAATCACTTTCTTCACCAGTTGCCCTTTTACATTCTCTGCCTGAAATTCTCTGCGTGCTTCACTAACTTATAAATGAATGGCTTTCTTATTAGCTAGCTGGTGGGGTGCCTAGTTGTGGGTGAAAAGTTCGATTTTTAATTTTTTTCACTGCTTTTTGCGGCAGTATACAGTCATTAATTCTTCTAAGACTATTCACAGTTGCTAATTGTCGATGATGCCTGGAGAAGCTCTCATATCTGATCCGTTTCAGGTTGTCAGAGATTCACGGTCAAACAAGAGCAAAGGCTATGGTTTTGTCGCATTCTCCGAATCTGATGTGAGTTTTAGTTGTCAATCCTCACTCAACTTCCAGCACACAAGGGTGATCGTAATTTGTGCCGTGAAACACCTTATCAGAAAACTTGAAGTAGAATACTGGACGGCATGCCTTACTCTGGGCAACATGTTCGTGGGATCATGAGGTTCTAAAATACAAAGAAATGTCGAAGAGCAAGAACAAGATGATTGTCCTTTCTCTATCGCAATTTCACCGAGTAAACATGTGCATTTAGCTAGCTAGACCCTTTTAGAAAAGGCCAGCTCGCCTTAACGCTTTATGGGGTATGGTGTCACACCGAAAAACATTGTCAGGTCCGCCCTTGAAGACAGTCCTCGCACTCGCGTCCTTGTTCAAGTGATCGGGTCCTCATTCTGTCACACTATTCCACTTTCGCGGCTTCACAGTGAGTAGCAGAGGCGCTGCAGGCCCCGAAAGTGGCAGTTCTGACACCTCCCTAGTTACCCCTTCCACCAAAACTGAAAGGCTATTTTCATTCTCAACACCGTATTTTTCAATTTTTTTCACGTAATAGGTATATGCATTTAATTGGTCTCAGCATTGGCTGAGACGAGGGAAGGCTTGTGATGAGCGAGAGGCACCACGATATCGCTTTGCTGGCATAAAACGAGCTGGTCCGGACAACTCGTACAGTGAGGCTGCGGTCAGGGTTCTTATGGTGCTCTCTATGATTTTCTTTTGCTTTTTCTCTCTGTGGGAAGTAACTTAGCGGCTACAGCTTCACTACTGAACTCCCCCGGCCGCTGCGGGGTTTCTTCAAGAAACTCTATAGAGAGGATTTTCAGTTCACACCATTCTCTACGAACCTTATGCCGCCAGAGTGTCATCCTTTCAATTCACTCTCGAACCAGAAGAGAGGAGTTATTTAGATAAAGACGAGTACCTCGGAAACTAACTCAGCACACACTTGACGAATCTGAGTGAAGGCTCTGAATCTTCTTCTAGGTGCGGGATGGGGTGCTGCGAGATCACTTGCTACCCCACTGTGTGCCAATTAAGGTACTTTTTCACCTTACTTGTATTGTTTTCGATGCAGTGTCGACGAAGGTCTCATTTGCTATGCATACTCAACATTAGAAATAGAAAAGAGCCTAGAAAAATGGTTCAAAATCGCTTTTCCTCAGCAAACTTTTCACCCATTTTTTGACTTCCCAGAAACGCATAGCAAAAACGAAACCCATTTTTGTGATCCTTATATGGACCCCCAACATGCAACAAACCATTTCTAAAAGCGCGTCACGACACCTGAACTACCTCCCTTGTTAAAGCAAAGACACTTTGCGCTAAATATCCCAAGTATGAATCTCCGGTTGCTCTGATCCTCAAACGTACTTAAACTGTTTGGATCATTGCTGCAATCTTGAATGAGGATATGAATGTACATAAGTGCATCTTTTCATCTCCCTTTTTCAGGACTATGTACGCGCCATGAGAGAGATGGATGGTAAGTATGTTGGAAATCGTCCTATTAAATTACGGAAGTCTAACTGGAAGGATCGAAATTACGATGTCGTCAAGAAGAAGCAAAAACAGAAGGCTAAGCTGGGACTATGGGGTTAAATCTCTCCTATTGCATGTTCAGGTGTCCCTGTGTGTTTTTCGTAGACATGAATAGAGAGTATGCCTCGTTTGCTTTTTTGTTGAGTTAATTTATGTTTTTAAAACAAAACCAGATTTTGTTATTTATTGTAAGGCAGTGTACAGACTTCGCGACGTCGCCCGTCGCAGCGCGTCAACGCGCTGTAACTCGCACCGACGCGCTACAATTACAACGCGCTGCACTGCTACCGTACCCCAGCCTTTCTTAATCTGCTTTCCTCTGATATTTACCCCTTTCCTTCCATTGTTCGTCATTTCTACTTCGTTTCTAGACATTAATTACCACCCTAATCGTCCGAAGTCCTTCCAGTTCTCAAACAACTTTTTTCCATGAGGGCAGATTCGGCTGAAAGTTGTATCATGGGATAGTTTGACTTCCCATACATGAATATCACATTCGCTTAGCACAAAGCCCCTAGCGCCCGCGCCAAAATACCCGCCATATTCGCTGGAAATCCTTCCCCAGCGATCGGGTGGTTAGCGACTTTGTGCTAAACGAATGTCGTAATCGTGATCAGGATACCTGAATAACCACAGTATGCTGGTCTGCATCGACTTGAGTGGGAAAGATGCTGGCTCCAAACTAGCCTCAAAAACTAATAGTCGAGGTCACGGCATCGTGCGCAAAGTCTCACAAAAAAAAGTTTTTCCCTGAGTTTATGGTGGTCGAATGGTACACGTTCTTAGCTTCTCTTTTTAACTTTGACATTCAATCTCAATGAGCTGTTTGTGTCTAGTATGCCATGTTACACCATGTAGTTCCCACTTACCCGATTACCAAATAGTCTCATTCCATTTCAGGCACTGGGCACTCAAAAAAGGGTCATTAAAGAAAAGCAGTTAAAGAGAGGTTTTGCCGTAGCATTGGAACATGGTTGTAATTATAGCGCGTCGATGCGCGTCCACGTGCTGCGACGAGCGACGTCGCGAAGTCTGAACGCTGTCTAAAGATTACTAAAGTGAACATCAAGTACTGGGTGGACTAGCGACAAAAAATTTATGAAGCAGAGGCTGTCCTGATGTCGGGGAGGTGCTTTCTGTTGTAGTCTTCTGTATACCAGAGCGAATCTGTATTATTTGGTCATCATCCCAGATACAGCTCAGAGGGTTTGTGAAAAATTGTTCTGTAAGAGACTTGTAAGAGATGTTGGAGGTATCTGATAGTGAACAATTGTGAGTTAATCAGTGTTAAAGTTTTTCTGTTATTTCTTACTTCAGCATTAATTTATGTTGTATATAAATGTTTTGAGCTTTTCGAACAGTGCTGTTCGAAGAATTGGCGTACACCGTACAAGCTATTGTCTTTCAGTTTTACCATTGATTATGACCGTTTCATCTCCGGTGTGAAACCTGTTTGTCCGTATTATGTCGACTTCATCCGTTTTGATGGTGTTCTCCCCTTTGATGGTCGTGAAAATTTGTTGAAATATGGAGGCTAGGTAGCAAATTCTGGTTGTTTTCTATGTTCCGTGAAGTTGTAAGCGGACTTTATGTTGACCGATTCTCTTGATGTTCGTCGCATGATCTCGCTCTAGCAACATTGATACACTATGATACACTCACTTTTTGCTGGGCAAGCCGGGTACTTTAATTCAAAGGATGCGCCCTAAATAAGGTTCTTACAGGCCCCGTTTTGAAACTTTGGAGGCGAAGCCAGTAATAGTCAGGGTCAATATCCAATGCGGAACTTCCGGTCGTCGCGAATATTCCGGGAAGGGTGCTCTAGAACCCCATCCCAGTCAACAGTGAACTGCGCGGAGGTGTCAGCAGCACCAAGAAAAAAACAAAATGATCAACTAACGGTATTAATAATTGCAATATAAATTCATAAGTGGGTGAGGTACGACAGTGGCAACTAAACGCGTGGTGGAGTAGGCGCATGGAACGTGTGAGTGCTCGAAGGCAATGGCACAAATAGCCATTGAGCTGACTGGTCAAAAGTGGGCCCCGGTAGCGTAATAGGGATCGCAACTGCCCGGTAAGCAGAAGATGCAGGTTCGAGTCCGTCGTCTGTGGTCCGCTTCGGCCCCCAAAACCACATTCTTGTGATAAATCGCGCACGCGGCGTCAAACAGAAATTATTCAAACAATAACGGTAGGCCATGAATTTTTGAGCCCTGTGAACACATCAGCTCGCATTCACGGGCATTACGTTGGAGTTGCACTATTACCATATCTGTGCGTGGGAGCCTAATGCATGGCGCATCCTGAGATGAAGCTGATGGGCGCTAAACCGTACACTGCTGTTCTGTTCACTTTCAGATTGTTCGACGGGATCCGTTCCTAGAGGCCCGTCCCCCCCCCCTTAAGTTGTTCAGTATGACGCCCTAGCCCGTGTGTACACAGGAATCGGGTTTTCTGTGCTGTTTCGATTTTCTCCAATCCAATGAATCCCCAAAGCATTTATCTCATAAACCCCGAGGACTTCAGCAACGATTTAAGTGGTTTTTAAAAAGAGGAGAGTTTCAGATCTGCATCATGCCAGCGAGTGATATCTCGTCCCCTTGATCCACATATCGCTTTTTTTGCGTATCCAGTGCTGGCACCGGTCTGATAACAAAAAAAAAACGGAAAACGTGGTGTAAAACTGAATTTTGTGACAAAAAAGCGGCACAAAATAGCCCTTAGTTCGGTGGGTTGGGCAAACTGGTGAGGCGTCGAAAATGTCTCCTGTGAGGGCCCAGGCCGCGAAAGCCGGGTTAATCTTTAAATATGAGAGCCAGACTAGCTTGTGCAAGGACGCCTATGAGTTGTAACGTAGGCAGTATGTGGGATCACTCTCTCTCTCTCCTCAAGATCTCTCTCTCCGTCTCTCTCTCTCATCTCTCTCGCTCTCTTCTGTTCTCTCTCTCATCTCTCTCTTTTTCTTTTCTTTCTTTCTTATCTTTCTTACCTTCGTTTCTTTACTTTCTTTCTATTGTCTTTTATCTTCCTTCCTTCTTTCTTTCTTTTTTTGCTTCCTGTCTTTCTTGTCGTCTTTCTTTTTTTTTTTTTTCTTTCTTTTCTTTCTCTTTCTTTTTCTCTCTCTCACAGTCCTCTCTCTCTCTCTCTCTCTGCTAGTGGTGCACTCAAAATCCCTTGCGGTAAGCGTGGCTGCGCACTTGAACTGAATGTGGGGGTTTCCAAGGTTTCCATTTTGGATTTTCATTTTGGGACAGTTGTAGTCATGTCTCTGTCTAACACAGAACAAGATGACAGTTGTACCAAACTGAAGTATCCCACGAGTAACCCATCCTATGCAATGTTCAAATGCCACGCCCACTCCGTCTCAGGGATAAGGAGTGTACCTATTAGAGATAGAACTGGTAGGAAACAATGAATAATCGTTGTATGTTGATCCCGTCATTTCCATCTTTCTCAAGTCTGGACTCCGTACGGCTTTGATAGAAGCTAAAGTAACATATTGGAACGTTTCATCTAAGCCAAACTCCTATGTACTGTGAATGAAGGTACTCCTACTGTAAATGAAGACTCTTCTCTGCTTGAGTCCTTTCCTCTGAACCTAAACATAACAAGAGTTTCGAGTTTCATCTGTACCCAGTTTCTTCTGTGGTATGGCGCTGGAAGGTGCTATGCCAGTTTCTTCTGTGGTATGGCGCTGGAAGGTGCTATGAAGCTAGGGGAAATTCTTAGCCTAGCACTGGTTTCCTTCGGCGTACGTATAGAAAAAAAAGTGCAAAAAGAACGAGAAGAAACAGCGAACCGTAAAAAGAAGGGGTGGGGTCGTGCCCATTCCCCTGAGGTTTGGAGGGGGGATCGTACGGACTCGACCAGAATCCTTAACGCATGATATGCCCTGCTAACGACAGACATAAGGCTTTTCCGCTTGTCACGCGTTGACACCGCTCCATTCAGTATTGGCACCTGCGCATACAAACTCCTCCTTTCTACCGACAGGTGGCGTGCGACATCTCCTGATTTCGCCTGGAAGCCCTCGTACTTTTCAAACTACTCAGTAAAGTGGATAAAAGGTAATGGTCCAAAAGCAGCACAGACAACCTTGAGAAGGTTGGCGATCATGACCAAATGCAGCGGAATTTGCTATTTCCCGAGCGTCAGTTCTGTGCTGCCAGGTGAAGCGTGGCGTCGCTCTCCATTGTCAGCGGGTCCACGTCTCAGGAGAGCATCACCATAGAGCGGACCAGGGTCTATGGTGTGATAGCCAGCCACATTGACGGTCATACGCGAAACTCTTCGGAAAGGTCTCACACTTCAGACGGTAGAAGGTGTAGCTTTGGAAGAGGAGCCGCTCTCCATCGCCACGAGCCATTCTACTTGTTCCGATGCAATACCCTGTTGTCGGCGCCCTGAAAAAGTTACACTGAATTATTTGCGAAGGGGGGGGGGGGGTGGAAGCGGTCCGGTGGTGAACCATTTGCAAAGGAGGAGGGTGTTGGAAGCGGTCAGGTGATGTTAAGTCATACACTCACCCGGTAGAGGTGAGAATCCTGGTCATAACCCGACGTCGTTGTGATAGCTCTGAAGAAATTTTCTGGACTTTTTGAAAGAAATGCCTAAAGAGACAGAACTATGGAATAAATGTAGAAAAAAGAAGACATGGAAATATTTGGAGAATATAAGGAAATAGCAGAAGAGTTTGAGCGCAGAGACTCAAAAATTTGTTTTCCTGGAATGGAAATCGGCCTTCGCGTGATAAGATCAGACTATTATTCTTTCCCTCTTAACACCGCTGCTACTAGCTCTCGGTGGCTGCAGGATTCGCTGTAGTACACTTGTGCTTTCGACAACACAATGCACATAAATCAGTTCGTCGCACAATAAATCGCTGATGATTTCCGGAAATCCTAGATCTTTCCAATACCACAGGGAAAACTCCCCGTAGTAGTCATTTTGACACCGAGCCGCACCTTTGGAAAAGTTTCCCTTTTTACATTCCATTTTAATGTCTTTCATCGTCATCTCGCCGCTGCTTTACATGCCTTCACCAATGTTATCAATGC